AAAGCAAGCAGTCCAAGGTCACAAAATGAGTCACTGTCAGAAGCGAGACTTTTTTTTTTTTAATAAAAGTGGATGTGCTGTCCTTTAAGAATAATATACCGACCCGCCATCAATTAGGGATTTGCTCTAAGCTGTTTTTCTTAAAGAGGAGAGGATGAAAACTGAGTCAGATGGCAGAGCCCATCTCATTCAGGTGTTCTGTAAATATCTCTTGCGTACCTCTATGTTCCAGATGCTGTCCAGGGCACCGTGGAGTTAGCAGTGTAAAAGATTGATGCATCTCCTGCCCTTGGTGCTTGAAGTCTTAGAAGTAGAGAGAGACAGGCATTAAATAAATGAGCACACAAGTAACGAATTGATGAAAATTCTGATCAATGTTTTGAAGGGTCCTTTGAAGGACAGAAACAAGGAAGTGGGGCCAGGTCAGGGAACTACCTCCGCAGAGCAGAGACATTTAAGCACCGATTTGAAAGATGAACAGCCTAGAAGAGGAGGAGGTGGGGCAAGGAAGGGTAGGGCTAAGAAGGAACAGCACGTGGAAAGGACCTGAGGCAAGAAGGTACTCAGTAGTTAAGGGATTGGAAGGAGGCTGGCATAGCATGGCTGAGGCAAAGAGACATATGCAGAGAGGGTCTCAGAGGGAAGTTGGGGTGGGGGTGCAATCATACAGAGCTTTTGGGGCCAGTGTGACAGATTAGGGATGGTCTTAGTTGTTTTTTGCTAAAAAACAAATTCTCCCAAAGCCTAGTGACTTATAACAACAGTGAACATTTATTCTCACAGTTTCTGTGGGTCAGGAATTCGGCAGCAGCTTAGCTACACGATTCTGGCTCAAGGTCTCTCCTAAGGTTGCTCTCAAGGCCGCAGTCTCAATGTAAGCTGGGGCCGTAGTCATCTGAAGGCTTGACCGGGCCTGGCAGGTCCACTTGCAACGTGGCTCCCTCACATGGATGGTGAATTGGTGCTGGCTGTTGGCAGGAGGCCTCAGATCCTTGCCACGTGGACTTCCCCATAGGGCTGACTGTGTGTCCTCATGACATGATATATGGTTTCCACCACAGCAAGTGATCCAAGAGAACAAGGCAGAAGCCACAACGTCCTTCATGTCCTATCCTCAGACGTCACACAGTGTTGTTTCCACAATGTCTTCTTCATTACATAGGTCAGCGCTCCACAGTGTAGGAGGGCACTACACACAGGCATGACACCAGGAGGTGACGATCACGGGGAGCCATCTTGGAGGCTGGACCGCAGGAAGGTCTTACAGATTTCGACGTGTCCCCACGGTGTCTAGTTTTGACTCAGCACCCACTTAATAAAATGATTCCTAAGATGGGAGAATATCCAAACCAGAAGGCACCGTGGCAATTAGTCCAACTTCCTCATTTGGCAGAAAAAATTACCAAATGGATGCATGTAAATATGGATTAAGTAATCAATTATTATGCTTTGAGGGATTTTTATGTTCCCAGGAACAAATGATAATGAGAACAAGTGAATATGATACAAGAATCTTGAGCACAATTATGAGTCATCAGAAAACTACTGAGGAGAGACTTCCGTTAGACATGGAAAATTGAGATAAACTCCCCGTTCCTTCCCTAAGCCTCACCAAAATGACAAGAAAGGAATAAAAGTGGCATAAACTGACAAGGAAAAAGAGAGAGGCGATGACAGCAGCTGAGAGGTGTTAACAATATTTTGAAGGATAGAAGGCACATGGACAAGAGTAATAAACTCAGGAGAGTGGAAAAGGCGGAAACCCAACAAGAATCCAGCCACATGGTGCCAAGGAGCCTGAACACCCAGGAAGTCCAAGCACCAGACATCTCTGGCATTAAGGGTGCAGGCCACCCATGAACCCCGAGGATCCAGTGAAAGCCTGCCGCGAGAGCCCCAGGCACCCTCTCCTCTCCTGAGCAGCATGGAGATTCCCTTCCACCCCTGCACCAGAAGACTGGAGCTTTACTCTCTGGAGGGACTGAGACAAAGCGCCTCTGGACTGAGGACCCCAGGCACAGCCGAGGGTGAGGAAGGCCCCACGCTGAACACAGATTGCTGGGCAGCCTGCATACCGGTCAGTGAGACAGGAGACAGGAGGCCCCCGCCTCCACTCCAGCCCCGGGATGCTGTCAGACTGATGTGTACACCCCCTCCCCTACGGGCAGAAGGCTGTAGGAGTTCTCTCTGGTGACACTGGCCAGCCCAAAAGAAAAGGCCGACAGACATCTGAGAATTGTTAAAGAAAAACCAGAGCTGGGCAGGAAAGTGGGAAGAGCAGATTTTAACGAGGAATGATTGCAGTGGAGAAAAGAGACCTCAGTACAGAACGGGGCTCAGTTCTGAATCCAGTAGGGACAAGTGGGGATTTATAGCCAAGGAGCAGGGTGGGCATCAGTGAGTGGGAAATTACTAAGGGGAAGCATCAGGAAGGAGAGGGGATTCTGGCTAAACTGACCTGACAGGGTTCTTGCTGAAGGCAGGTCACTCGGATGTAATGAGACATCAGCGGGGGGTGGGGGGTGAGGCGTTTGATCAGACATCGAGGGTTAGGGGTTTGGTCTAAACTGACTTGACAAAACTCTTGCTAAAACTGGGCGATGCAGCACTGGCAAGGATAAAGCCTAGTTGAGAAAAGGGTTCAGGGGACCCTGACTAAAGTTTGATCAAAGAGAGGGTCTGTGTCAGGGTTTCCTTACAAAATGGTTTGTCTTGAGATAATGAGGCCCATACATGACTCGTCCTGTTCATCCCCCTCCACTCCCCGTACACAGAGCTTCCAGCCTGCTTTGGGGCCTCTCAGATAGAACTAGACAACAACGATCACCAGATGTGAGAGGAAAGCTGTAAACACGAGAGTCATGGATTTACATTTTTTTAAGTTAATTATAAGAAAAAAAATAAAAAACAGGAAAAAGGAACTCAAGAAGCAGAGCAATGCATGAAACTGAAGAAGGCTTTTAAAACTACTATAATTAGAAAATCCTAAAGATTCTACACAAAAAAACTTTTAGAATAAACAAATTCAGCAAAGTTACAGCATGCAGAACCAACACGTAAAAATCGATTGCATTTCTATACACTAACGATGAACAATCTGAAAAGGAAATTAAGAAAGCAATTCCATTTACAATAGCATCAAAAAGAATAAAATTCACCAAGAAGGTGAAAGACTTGTGCACTGAAAACTACAAAATGTTGCTGAAAGAAATTAAAGAAGACACAAATAAACGGCAAGACATCTGTGTTCATGGATTCGAAGAGTTAATATTGTTAAGATATTAATACCATCCAAAGCAATCTACAGATTCAATGCAATCCCTATCAAAATCCCAATGGCATTTTTTGCAGAAATAGAAAGATTCATCCTAAAATTCACATTAAATCTCAAGGGACCCAGAATATCCGAAACAATCTTGAAAAAGAAGAACAAAGTTGGAGGTCTCACACCTCCTGCTCTCAAAACTTATTACAAAGTTACAGTAATCAAAACAGTGTGGTATTGGCATAAATACAGACATATAAACCAATGGAATGGAAATCCCAGAGATAATTGCTTGCATATATGGTTAAATGATTTTCAATAAGGGTGTCAACACCATTCAATGGGGAAAGACAGTCTTTTCAACAAATGGCATTGGGAAAACTGGATATCCACATGCAAAAGAATGAAATTGGACCCTTACACTACGCCATACACCAAAATTAACTCAAAAATGGATCAAAGACCTAAAACTATAAAGTCTTAGAAGAAAGCATAGGAGAAAAGCTTCATGATGTTGGATTTGGCAATGATTGGATGTGACACCAAAAACACAGGCAACAAAAGTAAAAATAGACAAACTGGGCTACATAAAAATTAAAAACATCCGTGAATCAAAGGACATAATCAACAGAATAAAAAGACAACCTAAGGAACAGGACAAAATATTTGCAAATCATACATCTGATAAGGGATTAATATCCAGAATATATAAAGAACTCCTACAACTCAACAACAACAAAATAACCCAACTTAAAAATGAGCAAAAGACCTGAATAGACATTTCTCCAAAGAAGATATACAAATGCCAACAAGTATATGAAAAAATACTCGCCATCACTAATTAGGGAAATGCAAATCGAAACCGCAATGAGATATCACCTCACGCCCATTAAGATGGCTACTACTGAAAAAAAAAAAATCAGAAAATAACAAGTGTTGGTAAAGGATTTAGAGAAATTGGGACCCTTGTGCAATGTCAAATGGTGCAGCAGCTATGGAAACAGGATAGTGGTTCCTCAAAAAGTAATAATGGAATTACCATATGATTCAGTAACTCCACTTCTGGTTATATATCCAAAAGAACTGGAAGCAGGGTCTAGAAGAGATATACTCCCATGTTCGTAGCAGCATTATTCACCATAGTCGAAAGCTGGAAGCAAGCCAAGTATCCATCAGTGGATGAATAGATAAACAAAAGGTAGTATATCCATACAACGGAATATTATTCAGCCTTGAAAAAGAAAGAAATTCTGACATATGACAACACGAATGAACCTTGAGGACATTATGCTAAGTGAAACCAGCCAGTCACAAGAGGACAAATACTGTATGATTACACTCACATGAGGTATCTAGAGTAGTCATAACCATAGAGACAGAAAGTAGAATGGGGGTTGCCAGTGGCTGGGAGAGGGGGAATGGGGAGGTGGTGTTTAATGGGTATAGAGTTTCAGTTTTGCAAGACGAAAAAGTTCTAGAGACGGATGGTGGTGACCGGTACCCAACAACGTGAATATACTTAATGATACTGAACTGCACCCTTAAAAATAGTTAAGATGGTAAATTTTATGTGTATTTTACCACAATTAAAAATAAAAAAATTTTTAAAGCAACTACAATTAACAATCTTAGAGATATAGGAGATGATATTATGCCCATGAACAAGAATAGGATGTTATAAAAAAGAACAAAAAATTATCTTAGAAGTGAAAAATTATGAGAAGAGACTAAAAAAAAAAATCTAATAGAAAAGTTGGAAGATAAAGTTGAAGTAATGTCCCAGAAAATAGAGCAAACATTTTTAAAAATGGAAAATTGGAAAGAACATTTTGAAAAACTAGAAGATCGATCCAAGAGGTCCAATATCCAACTAAAAATAGATCTGGAAGGAAAAGTCAAAAACAGAAAAGAGAATGGAGAAAATGAGCACAAAGAAATTTCCCCTAAATTGATTTCCAGATTAAAAGAGATCGATCTCTAGATTAAAAGGCCCACCAAGTGCCCATAGTAAATGCACATCCTTGTGAAACTTTAGACCTCTGGAAAATCTTCAAAACTGCCAGAGAAAAATTAGGTCACACACACAGGATCAGGTATCAGAATGTCATTTGACTTTTCGACAGCGACAATGGATCATGTCCTGAAAATTCCGAGGGGAACTTATTTCCACCGTAGTATTCTACGCCCAGCAGAGCTATCAATCAAAGCTACTGGAATATGTGATCTGCCACAACAAGGAAAGAAACCAAGGGGAAAATAAAAGGCAAGAGATTCAGGAAACAGGATCCCACAAGAGACAAGAGGCGCAAGAAATTCTCAGATGGTAGTAGGGCTCTAAGGGTCTGTAGGGCACCCAGTGCAGACTGGAGCCCAGGGAGGCTGCCTCCAGGAGGGGGTCTCTAAGAACGCAGAGACCTGAAAGACCACCTGGTGTGTTCAACCAGGTGGCATAGTTGGGGGGTAAATTAATGATAGATGCGTAAGGGAGTTTTGTGGGTTTTTAAATGAGGCAATTGCATGCTTCTGGAAAAGCAACACAGTTGTCCAAGAAGGGAAACGGAATCAAAGCCCACCTCAAGGCCCAGCTTTGAATCACATTTGCATAATCATAAGAATTAAACACGGCATACCGACATAACAATGACAACAAAATGTTCTAACTAAACTGGGAGACAGGGAGGAAGGAAAATGTGTGTGGTGGGGGTAGATAGAGCGGCACCGAACCTTCATCTTCCACAGCAGGGTGGCCATAGATAATGTTTGAAAAACCAGAAAATCTGAATTAGAAGTGTTACTTAAAAATAGAGGCACATGACAGAAGTGCCACCTAAAATGTGCAAAACAGTGGTCGTCTTTGGAAGTGAGAACTGAGACTTAGGGAAGCGTGGAGCAGGGGACTGACATTTTTTAAATATAAGCCAGCTATTTGACTGTTTAAACTAATACAAGTATAAATATGGTAGATAAAAATTAAATTGAAAAGAGAAAAAAATCCAACTGCTTGCCAGTCTATGGAGCAGCGATGACTGACGCAAAGCCCGGAGTGAAGGGAAGGAAGGGTGAAGGGGGAAGACAGCCTTGAACTCTGCCTGGATTAATAGGACAGGGCTGGCTTGCATCTGAACAGAAAGGACGGTGGAAGCTCTGAGGGCAGCTTAGCCCTCTAAAGGAACAAGTTTGGGGAAAGAAGAGCAGAAGGCCGGAGACCAAGCCTGGGGGCGTAGGGAGGAGCCTGCCGGGAGGAGCGGTCCTGGGGGTGGGAGGGAGGACAGGAATCCCAGGCAAGGAGGCCAAGGTGAATGGTTAACAAGGTAACAAAGGCGTTAACAGTGTCAAATGCTGCTTTGAAGTCTAGGGGACTTCAGATAAAAACAGACTATTGCACAGGATCTCACACAGTCCTGGGTGAGCCCCTAGAGGGGATTTTCCCAAAGCACTGAGGACAGAACAGAACCAGGAGCAGGTGAGCAAGCCTAGGGAGAAACACACACCTCCCCACGGCTCCTGGATCTCTTCTTGTTCTCCGGGAAGCAGGAGGCTTAGTTACCAGATGAAATGCATGCAATGCTTGGGACATACTTATACTACAAATTGTTGTTTATCTGCAACTCAAATTTAACTGGGCGTCCTGTGTCTTTACATGTTAACTCCAGCAACCTCAGGAGGCCGCACCTTGGACAAAAGCATGGAGGTATCTGAGCCTTGCAAATGGCGACTCTGCTGCTGGCCACTCCCACCAGGCTCCAGCCATCTGGGAGGAGGGGAACCTCAGGGCGGCAAGCTCCAAAGGGGGGACCTCAGAGACCCAAGGCAGGAGACGGTAGGAGTTTTCGATGAGCTGCCCCTCAGGTCAAAACCACCTGCAGTCCCTTCTATAAAGGGAGTTGGTTGAGTGAACATCTCCTTCGGCCCCAGGGGCAAGTCTGGTGCCATGAAAATGATCATTGTGCTTCTCAGAGCCTGTTCTCTCGTGGGGAAATGAAGCCACATCCTTGGGGCGGGAACAGTGGCAGACCTCCATGTCCTTCTATGATTTTCTACCACACGCACATATTGCTTTTATAATCAGCAAAAGGCAATGAAGACATTTCCATATTGAAAATAAAATACAATGAAGCCGCAGTGAACAAGATAATCTGCGAGGCCCCCTCCAAAGCTAAGATTCTGCAATTCTAGGTAATTTCCTGTCCTTCACTGGCATGTCATTTTAGGAGCATTCCGTGATGCAGCCTTGTTGTGGGTTTTTTTTCACTTTGATTTCCCCGAGGATTCTGAGCCCAGCCACTCACTGCTCGTGCCCGCTGACCCTGAATGTTGCCCGACCTGTGGAGCACACCATCTTCCCACCACCCACACTCTTGGAGGTCACTTGGTCTGGCCTGGCTGGGCCCAAGCCTCTGGGCTCATTCCTGACCTGGAGGACTCCCCAGATGACCCTTCTGAAGCCAAGGAAAGCTTGGGCGTGGGCCCTGTGAGACCCAGGGGCAGTAAGACTCCTGGGTCCCCATCAGAGCAGACCCAGATTCTAGAGCTTGTGGCTTAACAAATCCTGAAAGAGGGAGATGTGTCCCCACACCCAGGGACAACTGTGTCTTTCCCAGTTCACTAGAACCCCTCCCTAGTAAGAGTCCCCACTGGAGGGTCCCAGGGGGAGATGGAAAATGCCCCATCCATATGCAGCATATGGTGGACTCACAGAAGGGTGAGGGCCGCCGGTTCACGGGTTAAGAAAGCCCAAGTGGAACCTTAGATCCACCTCCTACCAGCCCTGTGACCTTGGGCAAGTCCCTTAACTGAGTCTGGGCTGTCCTGAGGATTAAATGAGATAATGAAAGCAAAACACCAGGTGTTGGGGAACAGAAGAGGAGTTCACAAACAGGAGCCTTATCTAGTTAATCCTCAGAGAGCCAAGAGGCTGCCCTTTGGCCAGAAGGAGCTTTTTATCTGCAATTCCCACAGACCCAGGACTGCTCTGGAAGGTTCCCCCACCCTCCAAGAGTGCCCTCCCTGCTCCAGTCCAGGCAGAGGCGCTACCAGCTGCTGAAGCAGTGACTGGTCTCCCAGCTCAGGCGCAGCGGCCTGGCCCACGACCTTGGAAGAACCTGGAAGAAAGCTTCACCAAGCGACAGTACTTTTCCACTGCCCTGCTCGGCCACCTCAGCTGGCTTTCTGCTGTGCAGACAGAAGGCAAAGTGCGCCAGGCCGGCCCCATAAGGAACCCACCCAAAATCACCCTCAGAGATGGGGGTAGAGACATGCTGTGGGTGGGGGGCAGCCGGAATCCTAGAAAGAAGTGAGGGGGGTCCCGAATACGCCAAGGGGAGCTTGGAGACCACTAGTGAGACCTGAGAAATTTGCATTGGCAAAGCCCCCTGGTGCTTTCCTGGACATTCCAGCAGATTCCTACCCCTTAACCGCTCCCTTCACCCCCACCCCTCCAATAATAATGATTAAACCCGTTCTACCGCGCCTGTGCTGGGTCCCCGGCGAGAAGCAGCGCTGGCCTGCGCGGGGGGAGGAGAGAGAGGAGGGCGAGGGGAGGGGACAAGAGAGCTAGCGGTTCCGCCCGGTGATGTAGGCAGCCCGGGGAGGTGGAGCCGCGACGCCTGAAGGAGTCCCCACCGCAATCGCCCTCTCGGTCTACCCACCCGAGCAGCCAGTCGCCAGCCCCAGCTCCGGTGACCTCCCTACCGCCGCAATTTGGGCGGCGGGGACCGCGAGATCCCCCCTGTTTGGGCCTGGGGGGCGCCTCCACCACGCCCAGCCCCTGCCTCTCCTTGCTTCCCGGACGGCTGGAGCGACTCCCGGGGGAAGCTGTTCCCGGACGCTCGGCCGCCGCCCGGGCATCTCGGCTGCCAGCCCGGCTGGGCACCGGGCATCTGCGAAGCTAGCCTTGCCTGGCACTGGGCATCTCCGGGCACCGACTGTCTCTGGCGCCGCACAGCTTCTCGCCACCGCGGGGCCGCGGACCTCTGCGCGCCCTCCCCTCCCCCGGCCTCCCGGCAGGACGCCCGTGAGCTCCGCGCGCCCCCAGCCCCTCTGGCCGCCGTCGCCGCTGCAGCCGCGATGCTGCCCTGGAGACGTAACAAATTCGTGCTGGTGGAGGACGAGGCCAAGTGCAAGGCGAAGAGCTTGAGTCCGGGGCTCACCTACACGTCGCTGCTCTCCAGCTTCCTGCGCTCCTGCCCGGACCTGCTGCCCGACTGGCCGCTGGAGCGCCTGGGCCGCGTGTTCCGCAGCCGGCGCCAGAAAGTGGAGCTCAACAAGGAGGACCCGACCTACACCGTGTGGTACCTGGGCAACGCCGTCACCCTGCACGCCAAGGGCGACGGCTGCACCGACGACGCCGTGGGCAAGATCTGGGCGCGCTGCGGGCCGGGCGGGGGCACCAAGATGAAGCTGACGCTGGGGCCGCACGGCATCCGCATGCAGCCGTGTGAGCGCAGCGCCTCGGGGGGCTCGGGGGGCCGCAGGCCGGCGCACGCCTACCTGCTGCCGCGCATCACCTACTGCACCGCGGACGGGCGCCACCCGCGCGTCTTCGCCTGGGTCTACCGCCACCAGGCGCGCCACAAGGCCGTGGTGCTGCGCTGCCACGCCGTGCTGCTGGCGCGGGCGCACAAGGCGCGCGCCCTGGCCCGTCTGCTCCGCCAGACCGCGCTGGCGGCCTTCAGCGACTTCAAGCGCCTGCAGCGCCAGAGCGACGCGCGCCACGTGCGCCAGCAGCACCTCCGTGCCGGGGGCGCCGCCGCCTCAGTGCCCCGCGCCCCGCTGCGCCGGCTGCTCAACGCCAAGTGCGCGTACCGGCCACCGGCCTCCGAACGCGGCCGTGGGGCGCCGCGCCTCAGCAGCATCCAGGAGGAGGACGAGGAGGAGGACGAGGACGTGGAGGAGCGCGAGGAAGCAGCCCCCCAGCTCGAGCGGCCCGAGGTGCTCAGCCTGGCCCGGGAGCTGAGGACGTGCAGCCTGCGGGGCGCCCCGGCGCCCCCGCCGCCCGCGCAGCCCCGCCGCTGGAAGGCCGGCCCCAGGGAGCGGGCGGGCCAGGCGCGCTGAGAGCCGAGGGGCAGGACTCGCGGCCCCAGACCCCGCCGGCCTGATTTACAGCCTCTAACCCGGGCCCTGCCCCCTTCTGCTCTCCCCCTGACCCTCCAGTCCTTGCCTCCCTTGTGGTCTCCGTTGTTGCCCGCCTCGCGCCTCATCCTGGCTCAGGGTGACGCCTGATATGCCCTTGATTATTGGGGGACGAGTAGTCGGGGAGCAGCAGTATTCGGCGTTCACCTCTCCCCCATCCGGAGTTTCTGGGCTCCCTCCGTTGCGGAATTGCCCCCTACACGTTACACCAAGCCTGTCTGCCCATAGACTATCCCCTCCCTCCCAAAGCAATCTCTCAAGAGAAGGAGGGAGAAGTTTCCAGAAATCCAGGAGGGTAACCTTGGGCCTTGGCCAGGTGGCGGCAGTGGCTCTCTGCCCTTGACCAGTCTAGCCTTCCTCCCTGGGATGAGACCAACCCTGGGGAGGCATTCTTGTAGGGGAAGAATAGTGGAGACTGGAGGCCAGGCACAAGGTGGGAATTGAGTCTGCAGCCACCATATACCCAAGGAAGAATTCTCAGGCCCTGTGTCTGGCCTCTCTACCCCTTGGAGGACTTCTGGGACTTCACTGCTCTGCTCTGGAGAGGGCTAGGATGGTCCTACCCACCCAAACAACAGGTTAGGCCAGGTTAACAGCTCTCTGCACCAAGCAACTGCCCAAGTCTGTGCCCTGGCACCGGGTACGCCCACAGGACTCCTCACCCACCCCATCTCTGCAGACAGATGTGTATGGTTCCCCACTAGGTGCCCCACAACCAGGACCAAGACGGGGCCTCCTAAGGAGGTAAGAGAACCAACCCATGGCAGGCACTTGAGGACACTGACTACCCAGAAAGTGGACCCAGGAAGGGTGCCCCCAAGTCAAGGCTTGTCAGAGCAGAAGGGTCCTTACAGCAGCTAGATTCTCATAGCAGGAAGGAGGGTGTGGTAACCCAGCAGAGGGACTGGGTCCCTGCCCAAGTCTCTCTCCACAAGGCCACGAAAAGCCCGAAGATCTGTGTTGCCAACTGATCATTGTAAATAAAGTGGACCTGCTTTTTCAGCCTTGTCACCACTCCTTTGTTGTATTTGATGCCAAACCTACTGAGGGTGAAATACATCATCAGAATCCTAAAGGGCAGGAGAAGACCCCAGGAAGTAGCCCCCTGTAGCAGCTGGAGCCTACTCTCAGGATGGGGGGTGGGGCAGGGCTGCTGCCAGGAAGCTGTTCCCTTCATGTCAGGGGAGGAGACGGTAGCAGGTGCCTTGTCTGAAAATCACATGTGCCAAGTCTTGGAAGGATGTCAGCTGTCTGTCTCGGCCTCCCAAAATGTCTGTCCGCCTGGGCACTCAGTTGCACGTGTCTCTGGGACATTTGGCAGGGAGCAGGCACTGGGCTGGGGGCTTCTCGTCAGCCACGTATCTTTGAGAAGGTTCACGTGCATGTCAAAGCATGCAGTGTACACCGTGTCTGCTCGGGGATGAGAAAGGAGGCAGGTTGTAAAGAGAGAGGTGGGCAACCCACTTTTCTTTCAGAGGAGCTGGAGAAATCCGTGCAGACCTTTGTGACAATGTAATCTTCTTTATCCCTGTGCTGAGCTGGGCACTGATCCCAGAGTTATCCAGAGCCCAGAAGAGTGGCCTCTGCAATTGCCAGCGATCAGGATTGTTCTGTTTCCTGGAGCTGCTGGAACAGAGGGTACCACTGCCACTTCACACTGGCGGAACCCAGGCAGGGTCAGGGGATTGTGAAGGGGAAAGCTGGGGTTGACTCCACCTGTTTGGAGGGGAGGCTGGGGAGGGGGGTCAAGGACCCACTGGGCAAGGATGCCCTGCATGTCCATTGCTTCTCTCTTCTGCATGCCAGGGTTTTTGCTGGTGTTTGTCTCATGTGCAGAAAGAGAAGAGGAAATGGGAAGATGTCAGACCTGGGAGAGGGGGATGGGCTGCAAGGCAGCGTCTGGTGTTTGAGACAGCCCGAGCCAGCAGCAAGGTCACGAGCACACCCTCTTTGATCAGAGTCACGCAGCAGATATTGCCTAGGCTCCTGCCTTGGGACAGGCACTGAGCTAGGCCCGGGGTCCAGGAGTCCCTCCTGCGTGGCTTTTACGTTCTCGAGTGAGATTCTTATATTTAAAGGAACAGTTGCTGTATAATAATTCACAGGCATGCTCCCAGACTCGGTCCCTGTTCCTCCACTTTTCTCTGGCAGCCTCCCAAAACAGACACAGACACAGACACACACACACACACACGACACACACACACACAGCTGCCTCCTTCTTTCCCTCACTCAGGCTGTGCTCTCTATACCTGAAGTTAGAAGACCAGTGTGAGAGGACTATCTCTACTTCCTTACCTGCTGTGTGATGTTGGGCAACTCACTCAGCATCTCTGAGCCTCGCATTTATCAAGAGTAAAATAGGGATCATAGCTACCTCTCAGGTTGATTGTAAGAATTAAATAGAATCATGGCAGTGAAAATGCTTTGGTGAATAATAAAATGCCCAGCACATGTGAAGAACAGCCAGTTTACCCACGGGGCCCCCCTCTTTAGATTTTTGTGTGCCTTCCCCCCCACTCCACTCTCTGGTAGCAATGATTATAAGTGGTTTTACTGGCCACATCTCCATTTTCAGTGTATGTGGTGGAGGAAGGACCTGATCCAACTTCTCTCCTCCGGTCGGTTGAAGATGAGATAAGCCACAGGTGAGCCAGCACAGTGCCAACAGCTGCCAGGCCCCAGAGGCGGGGGTTTGAGGCACCTCCAGCCACCAGGCCCCAGGCAGCATTGCTCCCCAAGGGAGGGAGGGTCCTGGGAAACCACACCCACCTCCATCCCTCTCCCTGATCTTGGGCAAGGGATGGAAAGGAGCCCTGAACCGCGGGTCAAGTGGTCTTGTGTCCCTGTGTCTCGGCTCCTGGGTTCAGATTCCCCACCTGTAAAATGAAGATGGGGGGAGGCGGGACCAGTGGTTTTCAAACCAGGTCCTTCCAAGTCCTAGATTCCCCGGGGGTGCCCCAGGAGCTGCCGCAGGGAGTGATGAGGAGATGCAATGGGGAGCCCCCCCCCCCCCCCCACCGCTTGCTTTAACTGGAGCAGCTCATCTGTTTTCTCTTTGGGGGTTCTGGGATCACATTTGAATAATGGGATCCTACAGATTTTTCTTTTTTAAGTCACTGGGTGACATGCCCTCTAAACTTGCCTTCCAGCCCTGATGCTGTATGTGTCTAAGGTCCACTGGGCTGACTAGGATGGAGCAGTCACGTTGGCGTGTGTACACATGGCACTGGAGGGCTTTTCGAGGGCAACCGGCAGCCAAGGCCAATGTGGGAAGTGTGTCTCAGCTAGACCAGCCACTCAGGAGCTGAGACTCTTCCCAGGACCTCTGGGGCCTTGCTTCCGGCTCTCCTGATCCTCCTCCAGAGGGGCTGGGCTGTGACTGATGTGACTTGTGCCACAGCACATAGCTCAAGGATGAGGTCGGCTGGCCCACCCACCAATGGCGTCCTGGCTCCCATTCCCCTCTTCCACACGCACCTGCTCCCGTTCCCCCAACATTGCCATGTGTTCCCACCTCTAGGCTTGTACCCATGCTATTCTCATGGCCTAGAATGTCCTTCCCTTTGGCTACACATTTTCACATCCTACCCGCTCCTCAAGACCCACCTCAAATTCCACCTCTTTGAAACTTTCCTTAATGCATACCCTGCCTCCACTCCTGCCAAATCTGGGGGTGATCCCTCCTCTCAAAGTCACATAGGACATAGCCAGTGCTTTCCTCATGGTCCTCTCTGTGTTACACCTGGGAGTACTGTTTTTATGTAAGTGTCTTTTCTCTCGTGCTGATCCATCTCCAGTTCCCCGCCCCCTTCAGCACCTTGACTTGCAGGGCAGAGCGTCGCTGCTCAATAATAATTTGTTGAATGAATACATGAATGAATGAGCCAGATGGAAGAGCCATCATGGGATAGGAAACCAAGTGGGTGGAGAAGCATTTCCTCTGCCAAGCTTCTGCCTCGAGATGCTGAAGGAGAGCTATCCTCAGACGCCCTGTTCAGACAGATGGCTATTCTTGGGGAGAAAATCAGCCAGGGGAGGAAACCGAAGCCTGTGTCCATGGGGTCTGCTCCGAGCTCCAAAACGCCAGGCCAGGGACTTCTCACCCTCTAGACTAGTCCAGGTACAGCACGATGCTGCCAGTCACAATACAGGGCAGCTCCTGGTGGTGACCAGCTGCCCTCCAGGCACGCTGGCTGGGTGGCGGGAGGACCATCCACACAGCTGTGGTCTCTAATTTAACACACAGCTGGTGGAACCTGGGCTTGGGCATCAGACAGACTTGCCGGTCCCAGCACTGCTGCTTGATGGCTGTGTAACTTGGGGCAGATTTCCGAAGGCTTTTGGAGCCTTGTTTTCCATCTGTAAAAACAGGGTCAGGTGAGTCTGGATCCTCTGTGATTGGTGGGAGAATGAAGTAAGGCGCTGCATTGGGTGATTGACTTAGCACAGTGCACCGTGCGCCCAGTAAGTGGTAGCTGCTGCTCTTATGTTTATTATTATTATTTCTGCTGGCGCTCTCTGCCTGACAGCTCTGGGATGAGCAGATCAGGTGTCTGGTCTCTGAGACACTAAATGTGTTGCTTGTTCATGCCCCGGGGTGCTACCTGCCTGAAGTCCCAGTGATCTCTAAATCATGGTGGAAGATTCAACCACAGCTTGTCTTATTTTCATCTCTAGTTGTTCAACCAAAAAAAGCCTAATCAGCTTAACACTAAGTCAGATCCAGTATCTTCTGCTTTTTGTATATCCTTTTCACCTTAGCACCTAGCACAATACCAGGCACGCAATAAGCATTCAGAGGTGAATGCATGCGTGCACACGTGTATGCATGAATGAATAAGTGATTGACTGCTGCCGGCGGCAATGTTAGCACCCAGCCTTCCAAGCCAAGGTCTTACGGAAAGCTGGGATGCCATTCTTTTGTGACTGGTCAGCTTCCCCCCATCCCTGTTTGCCCTTAGCTACAGGTTATGAACAAGAGGAAGATGCTGCTGGCTTAGGGACCAGCCAATCCCCAGTATAGGACAGCTGGAAAGGATTGAGGGGACCGACATGGCAAGTCCCTGAGCCAGAACTGTCCTCTGTCTCTCTCTGCTCCACTGCCTGCCTATCCACAGAGCACACACGAGTTTGTCGACTGATCCAGAATAATGAACTGTATCACCACTCACCTTCAGAGTGGGAAGGAGGTTGGGCAGGCAAGGCGTTGAAACTGGACTGCAAGCCACCAGACAGGAGACCTCAGCTGAGAGGCCCAGCAGTGCTGCCTGCTGGGAGCCCTTGACAAAGAGGCTAAAGGAAATGGAAAGCTCAGGAAGATCTCGTTTTTCCCTGCCCCGCATCCACCTGTTCCCCATTTATAGTGGAGACTGCTTCCTTGCCCTCCTTGGCATACAACTAAACTCTCTGATTCTCCCCGGCACTGAGTTGGGGTCATGTGACTGAGTTCTGGCCAATAGAATTGCTGAGTGTCACTCCCAGGGCTGGGCTGTACAAAATATAACTTTGCTTTATTTTCCTGCCTATGTCCTGGAGGTCATCACCCAGGGTGTTCTGGAAGCAACAGGTTGAGGATGACAGAGCCTCCACCAGCCTGGGTCCTTGAATGACCACAGGAAGTAGAGCCCCACCCCTGCCATCAATGGAAGCAGGAAATAAAATTTTATTGTGTTAGCCACTGACATGCTGGGGTTGTTTGTTGCAGCACATGGCTTACCTCGACTAACACACTCTTCTTGTGACCCACTGCCCTGATGTTCCTGGTGAAACCACTATGTCCCATTCTTGGTCCCTGGGGTCCTCCTCTGGAGCCCACGTGATCCAGGCCTGATCAATCAGACTATCCCATCTCCTTAGCCATGCAGAAAGGTTTCAGGATGGGCATGTGACTTGATCAGAGCCAGTGGAACTTAGTTCTGGGACTTTTGTTGAAACTGTTGTGAAGAGAAACACTCACTTTCTGCTAGAGTTGCTGAGAGATGGGGAGTATGTCTGGTGTTGCTTGCAGCCAT